TTCAGAGCAGTTATAGCCAGATTTATATTTGCTGCTCCTGAACTGCTTTTATAGAGTATAGAGTGACCAGCAAATATCTTCCTTCCTGCATCCAGGAAGAACAATAAAGGCTAGCATGCAGCAGATGTTCAATGCTTGCTGTTAAAAAAATTACAATAATTTATCTGATGGTGTTTAATAAATCACGTGAGGCTCAAGGTTATGATTTGAGTCCACCTGTTTCAATAAGTATTTGTTGCCCCTTTTACGTGACAAATTAAAGTCAAATCAATGCAGTTTCGAAATTGAATTGATGTCAACATTAATTCAATAATCTTAGTTTAAGGCGTATTGATTAGATTTTGAGCTCTGCTCTCAAAACAAACTACAAGACCAGTTCAGGAAGCAGTAAAAATGAATCTAGTTAACTGCTCTGAATTGCTCTTTTGCTGGAAGCAATGTTATATCACGTCAGTTGTATAAAAGTGCCATATGTGGTACATGAGATTGAGAGATTGCACGCCATCAGCTGCAGACCAGTGTTTTCTTATCATTTTTTAAATAGGACATATTCTGGTATTGTATGTGCCCAGAAGGTACATTGATCTAAAGCAAATAGGCTCAGTGTTAATGGTTACTAATTTGACCTTAAATTCTTAGAAAACTTTGGAAGGGGGAAACCATCCATCCAGTCTTTGTGATTTCATAGATTTTAAGCAAAATTTTTGCAGCCTGAAGTCTTTCTGCCTCAGCGATTGGAATATTTCATTTATAAATCTTGCCAGCTTGCTGTTGAGATTTGCACAGTGGATAAAACGTCAGTCAGTTCTAAAACAATTGCAGTAGAATTGGCAGCATAATCCTGATGACAAAATTCTGCAGAGCACTCACTAATTTGCTTAAAGCAGAGATTATCCTGTGTGAAACATATGGTATTGAAAAAAAGTGCTACTGTCTTGTTGGTGAATAAGGGTATTTAACAGTTCATTTGCAATATTTTTTGCCTGTGTGTTCCCTTTTTCTCCTTAAGGCACTGATTATTATTGGAATATTGTTCCACTGGAACCAGCGGCCCTCTGGAACACTATTATTACTATTATTATTATAAATTAGTCACCGTATCAAGTTTAGGCACAGAAATGTTGAGGAGATCTTTCAGAAACCTTATCCTAGAAAAGCAACTAATCTTAAAAACTTAAGAGCTGAGATTCTCAAAGCCATATCCAAACAACTAGTTATTTCCCTTGACCCATACATTTCAATTTTCCATCAGAGTAAAAAGCCCTGAACAATGTTCCTATTCACAACTTGAAGGTCAGACCACAATAAGAGCAGACCGGGATCCCTATTGACAATCATGTCAAAACACATGGAAATTATGGTCGATGGAAAGCTTCTGCAACATTTCAATCACCACTGCCTAATTGGTAATTGTGTTTAGGATCCAAGGAAATTACTAACAATTTTCACAAATTGAATGATTCTCTTAACTTCCAGCTCCAAATTAGCCCTTAATACTTCTCAGGTGATAAATTCCTTTAATCACTAATTGTAGCGTCTTTGGAAGTGTGTGCTTTTACTGAGAATTCTCTATTATCAGGGCCCATCAACAGAGCCACAGCATTTAGCAGCAAGGGAAATTGTACTCCCCTGGAGTCTTCAATCGGGAATGGAATTGCATTCTCATTAAAAAGCTAGTCTCTTGCAAGATAAACTGTTAAATTGCATAGTCAATTGCATCTGAGAACATAAGTGAAAATCAATTTGATAGTGTGCAGGCTACCTTCAACCAGCTGCAATACTTATATTGTAGTTGTGCGCAGGCTACCTTAAACCAACTTGAACCCTTATTTATATCCATGTACATAAATTGGCTGGGCACCATTAGCTGATTATATTAGTTCTATTGTCAATCTCCCTTTTGTACCACAAAATACATAGTCAATCCACTTTACAATATATTTCTGTGAAGAGCTTTGATGGGTCTCAACGATGTGATAAGGCACTATATCAAATACAAGTATTATTATTATAAAGGTCAAAGATGCTACCACACAGATTTTTTGGATTCCTCCGATATTGAAGGCATAACCATTCTTCATTTGCTTTAAGTGTAACTACAGCTGAAGCCTTGCTCCTCTTACTGGGACACCATGTGGGCATCTTTGCTGTAATATTGCATCCAGACATTGACTAAATACTATTAACCTCTTTCTAAAACAGAAAAATATAAAACTATTTTGAATAATAATATAATAATTCTTGCATTTGATATAGTGACTTACACATTGGGAGGACATCTCAAAGAACTTAACAGAATATACTGTGGAGTCCTGTAGCTTAGTGGTTAGAGCATTCGCTTTGCAAGCGAGAGACCTGGGTTTGATTCTCGGCAGAGTGAAACCTTGGGCAAGTTTCCTTACTCCACACGCCTAATAATAATCCCTCAAAAAAAAACAATAATAAATTAGTCACTTCAATCCACGACTGTTTGTGGGACACCGCTGTGTGCAATTGGTTGCTGCATTTTGCCCAAATTCACTTTACAGTATATTCTGTGGGGCGCTTTGAGACATATAGAAGACATGAAAAGCTTTATATTCAAATGTAAGGATTATTGTATTATACTGTAAAGCATAGTCACTGTGTATTTTGTAGGTGAACATGGCAGCCAGTTTGCACACAGCAACCAAATGACCAATTTTAACTGGGGAATTGTTGGCCAGACAACATTTATCAGTGGAAATACAATGGGTTGAAGGATTCTGAAATTGCACATGATGTCTCATTGAGAAGCAAAATATATTTAAAATTCAATAAAACTTTAAGCAGGTCGTCCCAAAACAAATAAAATTCAATAAATAATTCAAAGAAACAATATAGAAAGTGAATCCTACCTTGCAGCCAAGCGTGGGAAACAGATTAGCCATTTATTAGTTGTGGCAGTAAATATGTGTCAGATGATGTGCCAGAAAAAACTAATTACATTTCCATGCTGTTCATTCCTGACAATTGTTTCTCTGCTTGTCTGGCTATGAATACCCTACCTGTTGGGGCTTTGGCTTGCAGGCACTGAAATGACCTTCCGATGTCAATTGTGTTCACGTTAACATTCAATTTAATTCAATGTGAATCTTAATTGTATTGTATTGTTGAGTGGGAAGAATCTGTACCCTTAGTGACCAGTTTGTCCCTCAAATTGCTGTCGATGAGCCAGAATGGCTGGTATAATTTATATTTCTATGTGTTTTATATGTTTAGCTAGTTTATTTATATCTTTTACTGCTCTTATTAAGTGTATTGTTCAGTTGAATCTACCTTATGATTTATGATTCTTCGAGGAAGCAATGATAATTTTATTTATTTCAATTTCCAGATGAATAGTTTCTCAGCATCTCTCCTGGCTGACCAACAGCCATAACATTATCTTAAAATGTAAAGATTTACTGGTTCCACTCTTCCTTATTGTTTGATCTGGTAGATCACAAGCTGACCTGCATGGATCCTCCCACCATGCTGATGCGGATATGTATAGCTGATGAGGAAATTCTGAGACTGGGATGACAGCTGCTGGAAGACGATACCTGGAGTCCAGATTTATTAACAAACTTTCATATTTCTCTTAGTATTCATCTTGTTTGGTATGCAAAGAGGTAAGCAACTGCTCCTTAAGTTCCGCACCTCTAACTGAGTAAGGATTATCATGGAACCACTGTTCAATGATAATCCTTGCATTTGATGCAGTTCCTTTTATATCACACAGCTACCTCAATGTGCTTCACAGGATTCTGTGTAAAGTGTAGTGACTGTATATTTGTGTAGGCAAATAGGTGGAGATGTGTATCCAAGCTGTGGGCAGGATAATACCCTCACGCTATTCACTAGTGACGGGAAGTTCATGAGATTCTCACTGGAGAATGTGAAGTGGAGCTGGCTCTAAGGTAATGTACTTGCGATGGAATATTGGAATCAAGCTAAAAGTCTGTGGCAGTCTTGATAGTCTGGTTCCTGAGCCACGTGGGTCCACAGTAATTCCAGGCACTGGCGATGACAGATCAGCTAGCATGGCTCATCAGCAGCACTTGGAGGGCAGACCAGTCACTGGGATGAGAGATTCTCAATTTCTATCAGACATGCACGTTAAATAAAGCCCTAAAAGTTAGGTTGGTTCTGGCTGAACAAACAGTGGAATTCTTGGCAGCCAGCGCTGACGCTCTCTCTAATTAGGTAAGAAGGATGAGTCCCTTCAGGAAGAGTGCAATCCATTTCCAAACAAAGAGTGACTTCTATGTGTTTGAGGCTTGCTTCAAATCTGATGAGTTTCTGCATGTATCAGCTACCTGGCTGGCCAAAACAAAATAAACTTTACAGTAAATCCTGTGAAGCACTTTAAGGTGTCCTTCAGATGAGAAAGGCTCAATGTCAAATAATATAATAATCCTTGCATTCGATATAGCACCTTATCGCATCTTTGAGACTTCTCAAAGAATATATTGTGAAGCGGATTGACTGTATTTTGTGAGCGAAACGTGGCAGCTAGTTGTGCCCAGCAGTGTCCCACAAACAGTCGTGGATTGAATGACCATATTATTATTATTATTATTATCAATAATTTATTTTTGAAGGGATTATCACCCCGGAAAAGCGATCCGCCAATCGACTAACAACTGAGTTCCTATTTACCGCTAGGCAAACAGAGGCGTGCGGGGGCGGGGTGGGGGCGGGGTGGGGTTAAGAAAAAATTGCCTGAGGTTTTACCCGCCTGTGAATAGAACCCGAGTCGTCTCGCTTTTGCTCCGGGCTCGCTACGTGCCGCGCTCCGGGACTTCCAGCGACGGACACCCGCCACGGCTCACAAACCACCCGTCCCCACCCACCGATGCTATCCCCACGGCTGATGCCTATTCCCAGTGAGGGCAGAATCGCTCCCTCCCCCCTCCCGTCCCATGTGAGCTGCCAATCACCGGGGTGTGGGGGCAGTGGGGTTCCACTGGCGGTGACGTGTGACCTGTGGCGGGGGATTTGAATGAGGAGCGTCGCCGCTGCGCTGCTTCTGAGAAGGCAAATGGAAGTGGCGTTGGATTCAGCGGCCGACGCAGCGCGGCAGCAAGTGAAGGACGAGCTGCCCGAGAAATGTCAGAAGCTCTTCTCTGAGTTTCTGGAGCAGTAAGTGGAGGGGAGGGGATGGGGAGAAGAGAGAGAGAGAGAGAGAGAAGGGGAAAAAAAAAAAAAGGAGTCGCGATTCTCCGTTAAATGTGTTCAGATATTTTTAACGAGTGATCCAAACGCTCCTCGTACCGCTCTGGCGAACAAGAACAGCAGATGTCTCAGGTTCAAGGGAAGAGAACAAACATTTCCCGGGACAGGTGCAGGTTTTACTGTTATTTCTGTTGAGTCATTACTTTTCTCACCCGTGTGGCCGAAGCCGTTGGGCTCTCGTGGGAAGGGTTTGGCAATTGTTTTGTGTGGTTTTTTTTTTGCAGTGGGGGATGTCCTTTAGGTTTTGAACAAAATAGGGACTGGCATTCCTCTTCCAACAGTGGCGATGTGCCACTGGGGTTTTAACGTGACATCTGAAATGATAGATCCGAATAGTCATTGGGGGGATCTGCTCCGTCGTTACTGCGACTGCAGTTTTCCAGCCAAAGCGGTTTTGAAATCGAAGGTTAACAGTGCAGCTGTGGGAGTGCACAGAGCTGATACTCTGTGCTCAGCAGCAGAATTGTTTGTGAAGGTGACTCTTATTCAGCGATTTTACCCTATCCTTCCAGAAATCCCCACCCTGCAGACCTCCTATTGCAATGTCGAGCTGTTTTTAATATAAAAAAGCCACCCTGGCCCTGAACCACATTTCCTGGTAACCTGGTCCAGTCATTAATCACCTTCTGGGTAAAGCAACACTTCCTCGACTAGTGTGTGTCCTGGTGATGTGACCCCACACTGGTTCTCCTGTTCTGCTGTCGTGGGGAATCTGAAAAATATTGTTTTGAGTCTGGACAGGATGTTCAACGCCCACTTGAACAAGCAGATGGGATGTCAGTTTAACATTTCATCTGAACAGTGAGTGGCAGCACTGCCAATGCAGCACTTTCCCTTCCCTGGATTAGAGCATCAGGCCATGAGGATCAAGTCCCTGGGGGCGGTTTGAAGCCACAACTTTCTGCCCCAGAGGCAACACTGTCCCATCTCAGCCAGGCTGACCCATGATTTTTGGATTCGACACCAATAATAATAATAATCCTTGCATTTGATATGGCGCTTTTCACGTCGGGAGGACGTCCCAAAGCGCTTCACAGAACACACTGTAAAGTGAATTGACTGTATATTTGTGGGCGAACGCGGCAGCCAATTGCGCACAGCAATGTCCCACAAACAGTCGTAGATTGAAAATGACCAATTTATTATTGTTTTTGGTTTTTGGAGGGATTATTATTATTATTACCAACTCTCTTATAGAAGAGAAGCTTTGCTTAGCAATGGATAAAAAGCTATATTCTGTATGTTACTTGGCGGACAAACTCTTTAGTATGAAAATGGGTTGCTTACCTTCATTTTTTAAAAAAATACAATTTCAATTTCAAGAATTTGCCCACAAGTCACTACACTTAAAAATGCTTTTAGACATCCTCCTAACCTGACAGGTACTATAACCGATGCAAGGGTTATTATTATTTATAATAGATTATTTTTGATTATAATAAATATTATTACAATAAATTTCTGGTCACTTGACCCTGGCTTAACGTGGTACTACCACTTAAGATGTCATGCTGTCAAATATCCTGGCTGCATTTATTTATGTATTTATACATATACCTAACTCACCACTCCTGATAATTCGACACTGAGACATTTTCCCTTGGAGCAATGAAGTTAACAATTTACTGTATTTCAAATATTAAGAAAGCCACCTGGTGGTGACTAGCACAACTACAATCTCCACATCTTCAGAACTGGCAAGTGGAGCACTTCAACTCTTTTTAAAGACACAAAAATGCTCCGCGATCAAATATTTACATCATCTGCAATATAGACATGTTCACTAGTTTTTTTTTAATCAAATGAGATTCCAATTGTGTTTGAGGAAGCAGGCAAATGTGCCAGGGAAATTGCTGTCCAATATTTGAGCATCAGATTGTGGTAATTTGCTGCTGGTATTCAAAAGAACAGAGAGAAAAAAAATGTTTTTCATTTTTGGATGTGAATTTTGATTACCATTGGTGTCATTTAAATATTTACAGGATAATATAGTTGGAATGGGGTTAGGCATATATGCACTGAATACAATTCAGATATTTTTCAACAATAAAATTGAAATTTGCTATTTGAATCAGTGGCATAGCTAGGATGGAAATTTGGGTAGGCACCAACTTATGGTGGATAGGGCCAATTTTTATTCCTACCTACGCCACTGCATGATACCTCTGCTCTGCCTCTCTTCCCATGGTACTATGTGAAAAAAGAGGGAGTTTCTCCCTCCAAGTGTCCTGGTCAACAATCCCCCAAATAAAACTGGCTGTTCTTAGTTTGGACATTACTGTGCACAAATTGGTTGCCATCGGCAAAAATTACAATTGCTACATTTTACAGTGAATCCTGTGAAGTTCTTCTGCTGTTTCAAGGCTATATATTAATGCAGTGATTTATTTTGTTCTACTTGAAGCTTAACACTGGCTAAATGACCTTTAGTTTATGATCTTTTGTAAGAAATATGTTCTTTTAGAATTAAAGATTGGGCAAAATGACCAGAATGGCTGTGATAATTTGTAAAGCAGAATAGGTTAAGGATATAGAAAGACGAGTTGGTTGTTGAAATTAAAGAGAAATGATTGATCCAGAGTGGCACAAGAGAGAGATGAATGGGGATAGGAACAGGTTATCAGAAAGAATGGCTGAGGCAAGGAGGCTGGACTCATTTTAAAGAGCAGTTTGATACTCTGGTTGGAAGATGATTGGGTAGGTATTCTGAAAGGATGCGCTCAAATGAGCTGAAGGGACTTCTTCATCTGAGCTTCTTGTGGACTAGAGCAGGGAGTAAATTGTTCATCTCTGAGCTCTACTAATGAGACCTCTCCGACCTACTATCCCCCCACGTACCTGCCCGTACCTTCTGTTCCTCTGGCTCCGGTCTGTTCCACATCCCCCGCCATCGGTGGCCGGGCCTTCAGTCTCTAGGCTCTGGAACTCCATCCCCCAGTGCCTTCGCCTTGCTTCCTCCCTTTCCTCCTTCAAGGCCGGTCTCAAGACCTTTCTCTTCAGCCATGCCTTCAGCTCCCTTCTCGACTCTCTACCCCCTCCTCGCTCCTTCCCTTCCCTCCCCTCACCCTGACCATTTCCACCTTGCTCGGGTCCTGACCCAACTGTCCAGCATCTTGGGACGTCCTCCCGACTTGAAAGGCGCTCTATAAATGCAATCTTGTTGTTGTTGTTGAGACATTGTCCATGGGTTTCTTCGTCTTCTATTAAGAGTAAGGGTTGGGAAATGCTTCCTCATGTCATCTTCCGACTAATTGCACATTCAGACTTATAAAGCTGCTTCCACAATCCTTTTTAACTTAATGACCTTAGGGTCTACAGTCTGCATTTTGTTGTAGCTGGGATCTTAGTTGTTTGTTCTTGGATGTGGTGGGATGGAATTTTCCTGATGTTAATTCCCTGATCACTATTACTCCAATGTCCTCCTCGCCAACCTCCCCAACTGCAACTGATTCAGAGCACCGCTGCCTGTATTGTCCCCACATTAAACTCTGTACCCCCATCACACCAGTCTTCACTAAGCTTCACTGGCTCCCTATCACAAAATGGATCAATTTCAACAAAATCACTTGTCTACAAAATTCTGTCACATCCTGGCACCTTCTTACCTTTCTGACCTGCTTTCTCCCCACTTGACTACCCATTGCCTCCGCTCAGCTGGCTCCGACCTCCTGCTTGTCCCTCATTCCCTTCGCTTCACCATCGGCGGCTGCGCTTTCAGCCACTACCTTAAGCAGTGAGAACTACTATTTCACCTTGAGCAGTGAGAACTGTACATTTGGCCTTCCTAATTGTGCCCTCATCAAATCTGGTGGGAACGACTGATCGACCTACAGAATTTTGATTCAATATGAATACTGCCTCTGAAGTATGGACTTCGTTTTATGATACCCCTTTTTCCTGGAATAAGGAGAATAAATTCAAATATGACACCAGGAAAATCTTGAATTGCAGAGAGCTTGAATTTTGTGCTTCTTAATAATCCTTACATTTGATATAGCGCCAATATATCAATTTTATTGATTTAGCGCTCTCGGTGTCAGGAGGATGTCTCTAAGCGCTTGATAGTATATTATGTAAACTGTAGTGACTACTTGTACATCCAAATGCAGTAGTCAATTTACATACCGCAATGTCCTACAAATTGACTAATTTTATTTGGGGGATTGCTGGCCATGATACTGGGAGAAACTCCCTTCGCTTTTCAAAAGGAACCATAGGATCTTTAACATCCATCTGAACAGGCAGACAAGACCTTGGTTTAACAACCCTCAGCACTGCATTATAGTGTCAGCCTAGACTATGAATTCAATGCCTCAATGTGGGGCTTCTGACTCAGAGGCGATAGTGCTACCAACTGAGTCAGGCTGATGTGTGTGTCTTTCATATCAATAAGTGGAGATCAAAGTGCAATCTGTTCCATTATCTATCAAATCACTTCTACAGACTAGCAATTGGGGCAACTGAGGCCGACATTAATATAAATATTTGTGTTAGATTTGAAAATGATCAGATGTATATTCAGATCACGTTGAATGTTTTCCCCAGTTGCCTAGGAAACTATTGTAATTTTTCTAAAATTTCCCTGTTAAATATCAGGTTTTGTTCTATTGATGGTGAAGTGAAGTATCTTCAAGGTGCAGAGGAGCTGATGCGACCAGAGCGAAACACTTTATTTGTGGATTTCACTGATATAGAGCATTACAATCAACAGCTGGCAACAACCATTCAGGAGGAGTATTACAGGTTTAAATGCTTCTGTTAATATACAGTCTGTCTGCGTTTTAATGCTTATGAACCATGCAATAGACATTTGTATTAGTTAACTGGTTCCTGCTTCTGATAGTACCAATGTGACAAATTTTTTTTTTGGTGAGTCGGGTAGTAACCTTTCTGTTTGGTATGGAGCACACATTTTCCACAGAGGAATACGCCCTGCTTATTAAATTCTTGGCAGTTTAAATTCCAGGTTGGAAAGAGCCAAGCCTTGGATAATCTAGAACAGTGGTGATAGCCAACCTGTGGCCAGCTCGACTGTCAAGAAAGCCCTTCCCCCCACCCACAGTTTGTGTCTGATTTGTAGTGTTTTTACAGTTATTTTTATTATTGAATATTTCTTGATTTATACCAAAAAACTAAGAAATATTCAATCAAGAGAATGTATTTTGTTGCCAACCATAAAGTTAGGCCACCATTGATCTAGGATGTGCATTGAGGGTAAAGCTGGAGTTTAATCATCTAAAATTGTGCAACTAATCAATATGAACATTGGCATGTTCTTGCTGTTTACTCTACTGGCATCGCCCTACTGCCTAGGTCTTTGGCTTTCAGAATTAACAGGCACAGGATGGGACAAATCCCACTTTGGCACCTGTTGGCCCTGTATCTTTTTATAGACCACCTGCACCTGAAATATTGCAATTGGATAATTGCTGCGGAAAGCTTTTTAATTCCTAGTAGCTTTTCGCTACAGCTCTCGGCTTCCAGTCTTTTACTTTAACTGAACTGATTCTGTTGCCTGTAAAATAGTGAAAGTTCGAACCAAAGTTCAGGAACTGATTGCTTTACATTAAATAACGTTTGTGTTAGGACTGCTTGTGCCAAGAGGGATTGGAAGTTACATGGTTATTGTTTCTGGTAACACTGTTTCTTGACCTCAGTTTGATGACACCTCTGTCAATGCAGTACTCCTCCAGGATTACACTGCAGTGTCAGCTGAGACTGAGCTCAAGTCCCGAGGTGTGGCTTGATCCGACAAACTTCTGACCCAGAGGCAAGAGAGCTGCAAACTGGGCCTGGTTTGTATGTCCTCTGTGTATAATTCTTTTCTAAAGAATGTACTGTGAGGTTTGGCAAATACTCAACATAGTTCTGACTGTTTAGGGTTGGAATCGTTAACTCATTGGCTCACAGAAAAATTGGGTTGATTCTGGGATCATTGGTAGTTTTAGTGACCTTGGCGGTGAGTTTGATTTTCTGCTGTTGGGTGGATTGAGTTGACAGTTGGAGAATCAGCCTTTAGGTTCACACAATGTTGAGAAATATTGTAAAATTGGGCCAATTTGAACTTTGGAATCATTGCTGCAATGAGAAACTGTGGAATTCCAAACAATTATCGAAAATTACTTGTTTGGAAATATTGTATTACTTGAGTAGTGGACAATAATCAATGCCATCAAATGTCTAGCATAGTTTGGCAAAGAGAAAGAACTGAATGATTTGTCAAATTTGACATTCGATCTGAAATTGTCATTAGGACCTTCTAAGGAATTTTTTTTGGAGACTTCAGTTCAACTTGCTTCTACCTTTACTTTCCTGTTTTGGGTATTACTGGGTTTTGGATATAATATTGATACTGTCTATATATTCTCTTGCTATTTTGGATCCCAGGGTCTATGGTTGATGAGTTTATTCATATGGTTGAATCTAAGAATGTTTCTGTTTTTATCCCTAGGGTTTATCCATATGTTTCCAGGGCAGTGCGAAACTTTGTTCGAGATCATGGCATTGTTCCTGTTTCTAAGGAGTTTTATGTTGCTTTCCAAGACTTTCCAGCGAGACAAAAGTAAATGGACCCTTGCGGATACAGTCTGAGTATTACTCAAATTTCTAACCAGTTTGCCTATTTAAAAAAAGCATTCACAAAATGTTCAATATGTGCAATTATATCATGGAAATGCTTTAAACACTGTCTTATGATCTGACGGAAAAGATTAAGTAATATAAAAACTCTTGAAGTTCAAACATTGAGTTTCCCCCCCAAATTTCTCGATGTTCTAAGAGATGTCTGGACAAGAGATAACATGAAAGTCAGATGCCTGCCTTTCATGTCATCCCTTATTAACATATTGATCTGCTGGTTACAGCTGGACGCAGAGGAAGCACTTTGTTGTCTGACACTCCCTCTCACCTAATGCAAGTGAAATCCTGAGATGAAAGTGGAAGAGTTCCACAGAAATGGCTGCTCCCATGCTTCTAAAATATAAAATATTAACAAGAGAGAGCATAGAGATATCAACTATTGTACAAATATCTCCCTTTCTAAAGTTTGTTTATTGGATAATTCAGATGAATTCATTCCCCCTTTAAACAGAAATAGTTTTCATGTAGGATAATTCACTTTTTTGTTCTTACTACAGATCACAGTTTATTGTATTAGCTTTGACATACAGTCTGTGAGCTCTAGCAACTAATAAGCAATCCATATTTAAAATGTTCTGTTAATTATAATCCTTTCATAATTTCATATTGCATCTGTTACATTGAATGTCTCAAGTGCTTCACAACGTTTTGAAAGTATAGTGATTGTTTGTAGGCAAATGCAGCAGTCAATTTGCACACAGAAATGTCTCACAAATACAAAATTATATTTGTTTCGCACCTTTCATGTCAAGAGGATGTGCCAAGGAGCTGGACAGTCAGGGATTTGAACCATGAGTGACCATGAACTGAATGTCTAATTTTATCTGGAGGATTGTTGGCCAGGGCACTAGGAGAAACTTCTTTGTTTTTAAATTGTGCCATGGGATTTTTAACACCCACCTGAACAGGCAGATGGCTGGAACACTTTTTAGCATGGAACATTTCAAAGTTTTGAAATGCTATTTGTGCTCTGAGATTGGTTTCCAAAAACTGTTAGACTCAGTGTTTGGACATCTGGGGGGAATCACATCATTGTTGTCTTAGGATCAACTTTACAGGGAAAGAATGCCACATATTACTGGTGGTTTGGATTTTAAAAAAATAAATGGTTTCTTGGCATACCATGCTTATTCTTCATAATAGGTGTCTGCTTGGTTTAGTTTATATCAATCTTGCTTCTGGATCAGAAGATTATGGGTTCACACTGCACCTTGGAACTTGACCTCATAACCTAGGATGATACTCCATTGCAGTACTGGAGGAGTGTTACATTGTCAGAGGTATCTTTGTTTGGATGAGATATTAAACTGAGGTTTGTTTCAGCACCTTAGGACATCCTCCCGACGTGAAAGACGCTATACAAATGTAATCTTGTTGTTCTTCCTGTTTGGGCTAAAGATAACTTAGAGTACCCCAGAGAATGCATCCCCAAGACTTGGTTCTTACCAAGTTACTTGAAAAAGGTATGGAGAGTGCCTCTTTCCAGGTAAAGTGTGCACTCCACTCCAGACAAAGAGAAATTTCCATTTATAAGTAGCATGTTTGCATGGAATTGTGTCTGATTTGGATACTTTTAAGCATGGCAATAGGTTTCACGCATTGGAACTATTTGAAAAGCAAAGTGTCCTGACTGGCAATCCTCCAGATAAATTGGTCGCTCACTTCATGCCTATTTGAAAGAATTTTCTGCGTGCAAAATGATGGCCACATTTACCTTCAAAAAGAACCTCCACACATTAGTAATTAATGCAAAACTGTTTGATGTAGTTTAAATTCCTGTGCCACTATACACATGATACGATTATATGTGCAAGTTGTTGTTGTTGACATCATCATTGTCCCATTTATAGGCATCACTAAAAGTGAAATCTGATTTATCCAGTGTTTTATGTCGCTTTTTTAATGCTACTGTAAAAGTTAGAATTGTTTTATATTTTGGGCAAACAGAATCCGAGAACTCACAGCGGCAAGGATTGGGACTTTGTTGCGCATTAGTGGTCAAGTGGTTCGAACCCACCCTGTTCATCCCGAACTGGTGAGTGGGACTTTCCTCTGCATGGATTGCCAGTCAGTTAGTAAAGATGTGGAGCAGCAGTTCCGCTACACCCAGCCAGCCATCTGCAGGAATCCAGTCTGTGCCAATCGTCGCAGATTTATTCTGGATCCCAGCAAGTCTCGTTTTGTGGATTTTCAGAAGGTTAGTGTGTAGTAATGAGGATTTGCTATTGTTTTAGTGCTCTGAGATACATCTTGCATAAAATGGCACTATATAAATGTAGGTACTGTTGTTAAGAAGGAAGCCTTTACACACTATTAATTACATTGCAAACTGAAGGTGAAAGATGATTTAACATTGAGCCGGTTGCCTGTCTGGGCTCTCAACGAGGAATTGCTGTCTGGCACAGGGGAATGTGGATTAGCAAAGGAGAAAAATAATTCACGGGAGAAACAAATTGTTCCACTCTTAGGTGAGAATTCAGGAAACGCAAGCAGAGCTTCCTCGCGGCAACATTCCTCGCAGTGTGGAGGTGATAATGCGGGCAGAGGCTGTGGAATCGGCTCAGGCTGGGGACCGATGTGACTTCACTGGTACATTAATTGTAGTGCCTGATGTAGCTCAATTCTCAACCCCAGGTAATGAACTGCAGAGCTAAAGTGTAAACCTTTATGATGGGAGTGACCACTTAACAGAGCTTGAATGGTTGAACGAGCACTAAGTAAAAGGCTAAGGCCCAAAAAGCATAGCCCAATCGAGTTGCAGAGATAACTGGTCGAATGATTTGATGAGAAATGGATGGACCGCTCCAAGCGTATGCTTAAAAAGCTTGCAGGTTTTATGAGGAAGGGAAAGGAGAGGCAAATAGAGCTTCACAGTTTGAGAATCTGGAAAGTAAGTTAGTGTGGATAATAGTCCTGAGGTTTTTACTTGCTGGATAGTTTGGATTGGTGAAGAATTTAACTTTTATAAGGTCTAATTTGTTTTTCTTAATGGGATCCTGTTGAGCTGTGAAAACTCAACGGAGATCCAATGGCTTGACATAACATACTGGAAAAAATCCTCATTACCACAAATGATTTGTTTTATTCAGGAATCCCATTAAGAAATGAAGCATATTAGATCCCAAGCCGTCAAAAGCTCAGGCCATTGTATTGCTTATAAATTGTCTTGTGAATGTTCATTCAGACTTATTAAAGTATTTCCGAATATCCCTTACATTTCTGACCATTAATAATTGTTCTGTATGTATTGCTCTGCAGCTAGAAGCTTGCTGTCCCCATCTGCATTGCTGAATAAATTTGTGTTTTCTTTTGGGGGAAAACCCCCCAGGTGTCCGAGCAGAGACCAGCAGTCGACTTGCAGGACGGCAACAATTTGAGGCTGAAGGAATACAAGGTCTTAAAGTTCTGGGGGTGCGAGACCTTTCCTATAGATTAGCTTTCTTAGCTTGTTACGTGACACCTACAAACCCTCGGGTAAGAACAATGAGCTGTTCAGTTTATTAGACTGAATCCCTGTCTAAAGGTTTACTTTTAGTGGTTGTATTTTCAGTTTCAAATTGCCAACATAAACTGTGGAGTAACATTCTGTGTACACACAACTGCAACTTACCTACATACTTGGCTTGAGAAAAGCTGTTGCTTATCCACTGGAACGTTAAGATGTACAACTTCGGTAAACTATTAAGGAAAGACCAGTTATTTTAACAGAAACATGTATTGGCTTCCTGTGGAACTGGCTACATTCTTGAGAAATCTTGCATTTCAGAACCCATGGTCTTCTGTTTTATTGTGATATTATTCCAGCCAACTATTTTATACTCAGCATTTCTCCATATTTTCATACGATTGGCATTAGTTCAGAATCAAAGGTTTTGTTTCAGAAAGTGTCCCGTTGTAATTGTATATTTTGAGATACTTCTTTGGTTGACCTTTAGGTTTCTTAATTATGGAATCTGAGTGGTGCTCTTTCTGTTCATGGTAAATATGTCCCACTGACCCACACAAATCTTGTCACAGGTGGTCCCCTTGAGCTGGCGTGACATGCTTCCAGAATCCTTAAGTAACCCAGTTTGAAATCGCATTGTTTTGGACCCCAATATTGTAACAAAGCTATCTTGATGTTGGGTAGATTTCCCACTAAAATAAGGACAAACATAACTTTAAACAGCATCAATAATAGTGCAAGACAAATATTTACAAACAGTTAGTGTTAATATTTAATATTTTGTTTTGATTAAATCATCATTTGAAGTGCATCCAGACATATTTGGAAAAAAAACACGAACAAAAGAATATCTGCACTGCATTTAAACTTCTGCTTATTGCTTGAGCTATCACTTGAAATACATTACATTGAAATACAATACATTTGTTGAATATTTTAGCACATGTTGAACTTCCTAAGGTTTTTCTATTATCTGGACTGTACTTTATGAATTTTGTATGTGCAGAAATTGTTCAAAAATGAATTTCTAAATTATTAATCTTGTGCAAATGTTTTTGTGTAAATCCTAAGAAATGTAATCGTATAAGTTTGAGAGTGTTCATTTTTCTTATTTTGCACTTGGTATTTTTTTTTCTTGGCCCATTATAAAGTTTGGAGGAGTGATGTTCAGAGATGAACCTCAGACAGCAGAAAACATCAAGAACCAGATGACAGTGCAGGAATGGGAGAAGGTGTTTGAAATGAGTCAAGACAAAAACCTTTATCACAATCTCTGCACTAGCCTTTTCCCTACTATACATGGTAAGTGTCTGGATCTTGAGCTATGCTTGTTAGAGACACTGGTAAAGTGGCCTTCAAATATAAGGCTGCGTTGGTATTTATTTGTTGTTGGTGTAAATCCAAAATAATGAATTTTACAGATGTGGTGTAATGGAAATAAAGCATTTCCAAGGGTTAATGATAGAGCATACTGACGCTTACCTGTTTCAGCCTTAGGAAATGGTTGGAATTAGTGACTGCAGTTCCCAAGTCAAATTTTTTTTCCTGGTTCCAAATTAGGACAGTGCTATAGAAAGATTTGTTTATAATAATCATAATAATACTACTACTTGCATTTGATATAGTGCCTTATATTAGGAGAACGTCTCAAAGTGCATCAGGGGATTTTCTGTAATGTGCAGCGACTGTGAGGTTTATTCTCTTTTTGTTGGTGAATGTAACCACCTTCAGTTGTGTGCATTCATACACTGAGAAGTCCTATTGTAAGTGTATATGACCAAAATCAATAAATTTACTGACAAAGGAAAATAACTTTTGTTTAATCCATTGCCTCCAGGAAAAGAAAACACAGGCAATATATTTGATCAATATATTTGGACCCATTAAAAACAGTCGTAGGTTTAAAATAATAACAGGATTCGATAGGGTAGATACAGAGAAACTATTTTCTCTGTTAGGGGAATACAGAACAAGGGGGCATAATCTTAAAATTAGAGCTAGGCCATTTAGGAATGTAATTAGGAGGCAGTTTTTCACCCAAAAGATAGTGGAAATCTGGAACTCTCTTCCCCCAAAAGGCTGCACATCCTCAAGACTCGGGTCGATAACTATGTATTAGGTCAGGGTATTAAGGGATACATGGCAAAATTGGTAGGACTCTATCTTCTGGATCAGATGAAAATAACCCTATAGTTTAGTGCACCACTGGGGGAATGCTCGCAACTTTGGAGGTGCTGTCAGATGATGCAATAAACTCTGTCTGTTTATATTCCTGTAGATGTTAAAATATTCCATGACACTATTCAAAAAGAGAATCTTCCGGTCTCCAAGACAACAACCGTCCGGTTAAATTAATCATTCCACTTGGATTGATTTCATAGTTTTCGATGGACAAGCCTGAAATCTGTAAACTAACTCTGATTGATCTAGAGATTTGATTAGCTTTATCTATTTGCTATTTCTGAGCTTGTTTCTTCTACCAAGGTCCAATCTGTCTCTGTAGGTGGATGTTAAAGAGTCCATCTGATTATTTGAACGAGAATGGATTTCTCCCGTTGATGTGGCCAACCTTCCCCCAAATAAAATTGGCCTCTCACTTCGACCCTGTTTGTGAGACATTGTTTTGTTTGCTGCGTTTGCCTGCAAAATGCACCAGCAATCCACTTTACCGTGAAGTGCTTTGAGACTTCCTCCTGATGTGAAAGGTGCTATATCAAATGAGGATTTTTTTATTCTTTATTTTATAGGAAGTGATGAAATCAAGAGAGGAATCTTGTTGATGCTGTTTGGTGGGGTTGGAAAGAGCACAATGGAGGGTATATCTCTCCGTGGCGACATTAATGTTTGCATTATTGGTGACCCGAGCACATCAAAGAGCCAGTTCCTTAAGTAAGCAGCGTCAGAAATGACTGGTTTCAAATTATTCTACTTAAAAAGATGAATGATTTTCATTGTAAAGGGGGAAACAATTGATCAGTAGCAATGCATACACTTCAATAAGTTTCCTTTTGTCTTGCAATTAAGAGATCACGAACAAGACATCAGTCACTAGTGATCAACCCTCTCCTCTACTGTTAACAGAGCGGGTCGACTTCATAGAGTGGATCGACTTCAAGATCCTCACTCTAGTGTTGAAATCCCTCCATTCCTTGGCACCCCCCTAGCTCTCTAACCGCCTCTCTCCCCACAGCAGTACCCACTGCCTCTGCTCTACTGGGTCCGGCCTCCTCCATGTTCCCCGAATTCTCTGCTCCACCGTCGGCGGCTATGCTACCTTCAGCCATTATGCCCCGAAACGTTGGAACTCCCTCCCTCAATCCCTTCAGCTCGTCCCCTCCTTCCCCATCTTCAGGTCGCCCCTGAAGACCTTCCTCTTCGACCGCGCCTCCAGTCACCTTCCCCCTTCCCCTGGCTCGGCCTTGGGCTCTGCCATTGTTAAGCGCTTTGAGACGCCGCCTGGCTTGGAGGGTGCTATATAAATGCAAGTTAACCCTGCAAACCATAGCCCTAGCAGGTAGGGTGGTCCTTAAAGTTGTATGCTTTTAGGTTAAACTCCAGTAGTACCCCACAACACACTCTGGGGTCCACAAGTCTTTACTTTTGTCAACCTCTGCTTAATACTTTCCTTGATAACGTAAGCAGGATGTGTCCCTCCGCGCACAAAATACACACAGCCAGATCAACAACAACAACTACTTGCATTTATATAGCACCTTTCATGTTGGGAGAACCTCCCAAGGCACTGAACACATCACTTTACATTATATGCTGTAAAACCTTTTTGATAAGTCTCGATGACATAATGAGGAGCTGTAAAAAATGCAAGAATTATCATATTTATATTCTGACCTTAGCCTCGCTTCTAGGCAACCTATTCTAGTCATTATTATCCTCTTGGTAAAGAAGAACTTCTTGGTGTCCTGAAATTGCCCCTTTCAATTGTAAATATATGTTCTCTTGTTTTACTGCCTTGGTATATCTGAAAGTATTGTTCTGGATTTTCTTTTTCAATCCCATTCAAAATGTTATATACCTCTTTAAGAGGTCCCAATGAATCATCTTTCAGTAATTGGACAGATTGCAAATGAGAACCAGCAAAGAATTAAATTAGTTAAGTTTAAGACACTCTGCTTTTGCCTTTGATAGGCCATTCCTCCAGGGAGAGCTTGTGCATTCCATTCCAGACCCAGGGAAATTTCCAAGCGAAGGCGACAAACTTACGTGGAACTCTTGTCTGGTTAGGATACTCTTAAGCACAGTGTTGGGCTTCTGCCACCTGGCACAAATGGGGAGACTGTGAGAATTAAAGAAATAAACCATCATTAAGACAGCGTAGTTCTACAGTGCTGCCTATTCACCTCAATAAGGGAGTGAATGCATTGGGGTCACTATCCTCTTCAAACCACTTCACAAATATTAAAGGTACTTCAAAAAATAGCATAAAATGAAACATCACATTAAGTCAAACTTGTTTGTGGGACACTCCTGCTGTGCGCAGATTGGTTGCCATGTTTGCCTACGAATAGTCCTTACACTTGCCAGTAAGTCCTGTGAAATGCTTTGAGATGTCTCGTCGAAATAAGGCAAATTACAATATTAAATGCAAGAATTATAATTCTGTCACTCCTTAGCTGCCAATGCAGCTTACTCTAAAATGGGGATCTTCTCTTTCCCATTATAAAGACTCGAAAAGATTGCTACTTTTAGCCATGTGGATAGTCGGCGCTCCACTGAGAAAAAATGTTGATCATGTAGTGCTCCTATTTTACCATTGGAGAGCAGTAGCACACTGTAAACTTGATATGCCAAAAGTCACAGGAAAAGTCTTTCAACTATAACACTTAAACAACATTTGTACAATCTTTCAAGTGGGGTTTTCTCTGAAAACACCTTACATGGACAGTGTGGAACGACAAGCAGGGTGATGGTAGGGGACTAGGAGGGAGATGTCTGAATGGTCATAGCTTAGTTTTTTAGATGATATTTTGTCTCACTGTTATTCTTCTCTCCTGAGGTTAACACCCTTGACTGTCACCATATCCTAGCACTTCTCTCTGTCTCTCTGATCTTCTCTTACTTCACTCCTCTGCCCGCCTTATCTGTAAAGCTTGGAAGAGTTCACCCACAAATATTCACTTTACAGCATATACTGTGAAGCGCTTTGAGAGGTCTAGAAGACGTGAAAAGCGCTATATCAAATACAAAGATTATTATAATTATATTAGAGCAGACCGGTCACTGGTGATCTCTGGATAAGATACTGAAGGAAGATAGTTAACATACATCAAAGCCAGAGCCTATGTGGTTCATATAAATATTGTCTGTTGCAAATTAGAAGCATGTCTGTTTTACAAGTGTTGCACGACATGACCAGGATGACCTCTGGTAATGTGAGACTACTAACAGGATAATCTGCGGGAAGATATTTAACATATGCCAGGGCAAGACTTACCTCTGTTGCATGCAAATATTACCCAATACAAGTTGTAAGCTCATCTGTTTTTTTTTCCTTGACATGTTGGATGTGTTATGATGGATATCAAACACCACTGCTAAACTATAAGCGTTTATTCTGAATGTGCTTATTGAGAAATAGTATTCTATACAATAGGGTAGGAACAAGAAACAAATCCTTTAAAATTAATGATTAACAATTATTCACAAACCCTTCTGATTTTTCATCAGTAAACGATTATTATTTTTTACAGCTCATTGACTATTGATGCAAGATATTTTTGCATAAAAACTAGCAATGTTTCCATGGTGAAACTGGAATTAGCTATGATGGTTTAATTTCTGTTTTTCTTTCTCTTTCACCTCAGACATGTGGAGGAGTTCAGTCCTCGTGCTGTCTACACCAGTGGTAAAGCCAGCAGTGCGGCAGGGCTGACTGCAGCTGTTGTGAGAGACGAAGAGTCATATGGTTTTGTGATTGAAGCTGGAGCTTTGATGTTGGCTGACAATGTATGTGAATTTTAGTGTGTTCACTCCCCTTCAGATTTTCTAGAGAAACTTAACTTTAAATTATAAACTATTTTCTAAAATATCTATTGGCAGTTCTCTGTTTTGCAGAAATCTTCGATCTAAAGAAAATCTTAATTTAGCAACATTTAGCTGTTTGTTGGAGTACCATCATACATGTGGCACAGGTTCAAGCTTGTAAAGGACCATTTCCGGACAGATGTCATAAAGTATTTCTTTACATAAAGAGAAATTAACAGGTGGAATGGAGGTTATTTGGGACCACTTTGACCCATTTTAACTTGATATGCTAGAAAAATTAAAGTTTCTTTTGTAAGTATTAATTTTAGTTCAGCTACAGGAAATATGAACCCGAGAACTCCAGCTGTTTGATGAGATACAGCCACTTTTACGTGGAAAAGATTACAATATGGAAATGCTTTCAATATAACATTTTATTTCTCCAATCCATAAACCTGTCAGATGGTGACGATCCATCAACTTTTATGCAACACTAGGGCAAAATTCCACCTGGGTCTAGATTTACTCTGTTTCTTAGCATTGCAGAACGTGCAGATTTTGGTAAATTGTTGAATTTGGTCTTGGCTTTGAAGTTGTTTTCAAGTAGTTCTTAAAAGAATATGCAGAAAACCAGCTTCAAAATTAAGGCTGTATTTAAAAAAAATCTGCCAGAACCTGGACATTCTAAAATACTATATAAATAGAATAAATCTAGACTCTCAGGTGGACTTCACTCTCATGCATTTATTTAATTCAAAGAGAGAGTTTGTTATGAACATTTCATGTTATAGTAATAATCATTTGTTTTGCAGGGTGTATGCTGTATTGATGAATTTGATAAAATGGACCCCAAAGATCAAGTGGCAATTCATGAAGCTATGGAACAGCAAACCATTTCAATTACAAAGGCAGGTGTGAAGGTAGGAAATTCAGCTGGGCTTTGAACACCTTAGCTGGTAACCATTAACTGATTATTAATAATAATTCTAGCATTTTATATGGCGCCTTATAACAAATCCCGACGTGGGGCTTGAACGTCTATAACGTCTTAGAGACAACTCAAAGTGCTTCATAGTTTATACTGTAAAGTGAAATTCAATGTATATTTTGTGGGAGAAACATTCAAAGAGAGAGTTCAGGCCATTCAAAACATTATAAGCTTATTCTACTTCACCAATACATCTTGTTTGTTTAAAGAAAGAAAAATGCTTGCAAGCATTCAAGTGCTTGTTCAGGAGGAATTAGCTTTGAGTGGCTCGCAATGCAATAGGCATCATATCACAGTATGCTCCGCTCCCCGATCACCCCAGTCCTTGCCAGACTGCACTGGCTCCCTATCCCAGAGAGGATCGATTTCAAGATCCTCACCCTTGTATTCAAGTCCCTGCACTCCTCTGCAACCCCCTACCTCTCTGACCTCTCTCCTCAAAACAGTACCCGTCGCCATCGTTCCTCCGGGTCTGGCCTCCTCCTCGTCCCCCAAGTCTTCCGCTCCACCCTCTGCGGCTGTGCCTTCAGCCACTATGCCCCGAGACTCTGGAACTGCCTTCCTCACTCCCTTCGTCTCGCTCACTCCCTTCGTCTCGCTCCCTCCCTTCACATTTTCAGGTCTCTGCTGAAGACCTTTCTTTTTGACCGTGCCTTTGGTCACCTTCCTCCCCCTCCCCCTGGCTCGGCCCCAGGATCCGTTACTGTAAAGCGCTCTGAGACGCCGTCCAGCGTGGAAGGTGCTATATAAATCCAAGTTGTTGTTGTTGTATGCACAATTTAACCTTGTATCTTTTAATCTGAGTGACAATATCCTTTTGAATGGAAAAAGTGACGTGTGACCATGTAAAATCCAGAATAATAACTTGGGGCTAATTCTTAATGCCCTGGGTAAGTTCCACGATGGCCAAGAATATAGATTCTGCTTGTTGGAATTGTTACCAGTTCAAGACAAAATATATTTTTTTAATCAAGCTAAAGCTTCAATTAGCATCCTTTAATTTAATGCCCTATAAGAATGCAGTTACTTTTGGGTGAAGAAATGTGACCAAACCTCAGGAATCAAACAATTCCTTCAGCCTCAGATTTTTTTTAAAAGAAGGGGTGGATTCTGAGAGCTGAAAATAAAGCAATCTGGAGGGGTGTGGTGCCACGTGGGGTCAATTGTTTAAACCAGCAATACATAAGGAATGTTAGAAATGTGTGCCAGCTTGGCTTGATTGGTAGTCCCTGCTTCAATTCCTCTACCATGCCCTCTTTTTGCCCATCTTCAGATCACACGTTAAGACTTTCCTCTTCAACCGTAATGTGGTTTTGGTTGNTTTTTTTGTTGTGGGTTCAAGCCCCATGTCGGGACTTGCAATTTTGTTTAGTCTAAGTTGACACTTTAATGCAGTGCTGGGTGTTTGATGACGTCCTTCAGATGGAGGGCCCTCCTACAGATGAGATGTTAAACTGAGGTCCCGTCTTCCTGTTCAGATGGATGTTCAGGAAACCTTGAAAAAGGAAGGAAGTTTTCCCTGGTGTCTGGGCCATCACTCCTCCAAACTAAGCACTTCATGGCTGATTGGGACATTGCTGTTTGCAAATTGGCTGCTGCATTCACCCACAAAATGCACAAACCATAGACTTCACAGTATATCCTTGAGAGATTCTCCTGACATGTAAGGCCTATACCAAATGTAACGATGATTATTATATGATTATCACAAACTTTACTTTAATAAAACTTTGTAGTATTCCAACACCAGTTTTATTGTCTCCCCAGGCCACACTGAATGCTCGAGCCTCTATCCTGGCAGCAGCAAACCCCGTTGGTGGGAGGTATGATCGATCCAAATCTCTGAAGCAGAATGTAAACCTTAGTGCTCCTATTATGTCAAGATTTGACCTATTCTTTATCCTGGTGGATGAATGTAATGAGGTAACCAAGCAAAATTCATTTTTCCCAAAAATAATTTGATGGCCTTAAAATAATTTGTCCATTGTCTTTAGCTTGAATGGAAACATGCACAGTGTGTTTGTACGTTTTCTGCTTGGTTTCAAACTAACCATTCAGCTATCTGTTTAATAATCTCTCCCATTACATTAATATCTGATGTATGACATTTGTTTGTGTTTATCTGTGCTGTGAGTAGTTTTTCTGTGTTTCTGTGTTTATCTGTTTATCGTGGAGTCCTGTAGCTCAGTGGTTAGAGCACTGGCTTTGCAAGTGAGAGACCTGAGTTCAATTCCCGGCAGGGCGAAGCCTTGGGCAAGTTTCCTTACTCCACACGCCTAATAATAATGCCTCCAAAAACAATAATAAATTGGTCATTTTCAATCTATGACTGTTTGTGGGACATTGCTGTGCGCAATTGGCTGCCGGGTTCGCCCACAAATATACAGTCAATTCACTTTACAGTGTGTTCTGTGAAGCGCTTTGGGACGTCCTCCCGACGTGAAAAGCGCTATATCAAATGCAAGGATTATTATTATTACTATTATCTGTGATGGTTTCAATTTGTGAATCTGTTTCTATTTCCAATCTTTCAATTGTGACTGTGTTATGTCAGCTGGTAACTTAAGTTAAACTTGAGGGGAATTAGTTGCTCCTTACAGAATCTGAGAAGCTTTTTTTCTGTTACAATTTTTCCATTCCTCCTAATACAAAAAACATTCAGTTGTTTACGGTACATTCCTTTTCCGCACGTAGCTTGTGCACACATTTTTTGGGATGCTCCCCTTAAAACAGTTGGGAGTCACCCCTGTGAACACCACATCCATGTGCGTGCCCGCATACCTGAGACGCATGCAGGACAGAAGGCCACTTGACCCATTTTGTCTGAGCTGTTAGTTCCCACACCGGATTCATCTGTTCCAATTACAATGCTGTTTAGCTCATAGTTTATAACTTTGCCTTCTTTTCTTGCAGCATGACTTCAATTTTGTTTCTCGCTCAATGTTTGCTCCCAACATCTCTTTAAGTAGTTCATTTATTTAAGACTTGATAAACTCTTCCCTTTAATCCCATTTCAATCCTGTTTATTTTCGTAACATTTACATACATTTTAATGTAAACTTGGAATTTGATCAGCACTTGAAAGAGAAAAACAGGTTAACATTTTGGGAGTGGAGTTTGAGCAAACTATGGGGTAAGGGGGAAAGGGAGGAGTTTGGAAATGTGCATACAATAGCGGAAAACAAAAGAAAATGACGGTCAGTTACAGGAAGGCAGAGATTTAATGTAAAGACTAAAAGAGCAAAGTGAGAGGCTGGGAGATTATTTTGCACAGAGGTGTGTTAGGACATGGAATCTCTTGGTTAGTATGTGGTTGAGACACAATCCTTATTAGCTTTTTAAGAGGGAATTAGATAAATTTCTAAAAATGTGAAATACCAAAGGATATGGGAAAGAGGCAGAATAACGGGACTAAATGTAAAGTTCTTTCAGAGCCATGACAGACCCAATGGCGTCATCTGTAAATTTCTACAGTTCAAACTTGACATTTGTTTAGACTTTCTGGTTGTGGCACTGGAGCTAGGATGGGAGAAAGCACTAAGTTCCCTGAGATCTTGTCAATGTCACCAAGGAAAGTACATCTTCACAACTGATTTTGTCCCAACACTTTAGCAAATAACTTTCCCATTTGAAATGGCTGCATGTGAATGTTCCATAATGTGACCAATTGGCTGGTTCTGCAGGTTACAGATTATGCCATTGCCAGACGAATTGTCGACCTTCATTCAAGGTGCGAGGAATCTGTTAATCGAATCTATTCGGTAGAGGACATTAACCGATATTTATTATTTGCTCGGCAGTTTCAACCAAAGGTATTTTTTCTCTTCCAGTGGCTTGTTTAATGAAAATAACAGTTTTACATTAGAACACCAATTCAAACACCAATTTGATATAGGTGGAGGATTGTGATCTGATGATGTTGGTATATGCATTGCACTTAGTGACCATTTAATATTTAACACATCAACTGGTTCCTGTGGCACTTGTATGGAAATCTCTCCCCCACCCCCTTCCTTTATCAATGCATTTGTTTATTAAGATGCTATTCCCTCTCACTGGCAGTCCAGATTCACTAAGCCAGAGGCAACTGAAATTATCCTAATGTTACAGGAGCTAGTTTCTGTAAGTAATTTTTAACTTGTACATAAGGTATTAAGAGGAGCAATCTTAAAGATAATTTCCACTGCTTGCTAAAACTGTAACATGCAACCTCTAAGGTTGGAAGATTTTTTTCATTCAGAGGGTATTTGTCACAAGTCACTATTAAGTCTGAGTTCACAATATGCAAAAGATAATCGAAGAAAAATTTGAAAAGAAGAAAGAATATAACTGAGTGCAGAGAAAGACTGGGCAATTGGCATTAGTGTAGTTAGCTGCAGTAAAGGAGCTAGCACCAACCTGAGCTCAATGGGTTAACTGGCTCCCAATAGTTGCTATGATTGTTTAAGTGCTCCAGGATGCCACCCACATGAAGGGCACTATATAAATGTGAGTTGTTGTGTTTCTACATGTTGCCAAGTAAATGAACATCTTCTGATCTGTTTCAGATAATGAAAGAGGCCGAGGAGTTCATTGTGGAAAAGTACAGACTCCTCAGACAGCGTGATGCTTCTGAAATAAGCAAATCAGCTGGCGTATTACTGTTCGTCAACTGGAGAGCCTGATCCGATTATCTGAAGCTATGGCCCGTATGCACTGTATGGATGAGGTAATGTAATGACTGCCGCACCTTTGCTCACACACTATAATAAATTGGTACAATTACACAAGGACCTTATTTTTGTTTGGGTAAAGGGCACGGTGGATGATGGAAGGGAAAGCCTTTGTAGGGTGCCCAGATATGTGAATTTAACTTGTTCTATCCAGAACTCAAATTGAAATCAATATTTTTAGTTTATTATCTGTTCCCATATATTTACCATTCTCTTCTATTTTTCCACTCCTCAACCATTTACGTAAATCATAAGATACCAGTCTTGCAAATATACCTCTGCTAGCCAGACAAATGGGGGAGGTGGGAGGAAGGTATCCGGTCCAGCAAGCTGGAATTTCCAGCTAAGTGTAATTACAATGCCGGGACCGACATTATAATTGTTTGAAACCTGCGAGCAGAAGATGGTGAATGAGCTGTCCTGCCAAGTTCAGCTGCAAAATATACAGTCACTACACTACATTTCCTGTGAAATTCTTTGAGACTTCCTCCTGATGTGACAGGTGCTGTATCGAATGCAAGGATTATTATTAAATGCAAATGTAAGGATTACGAAAATTCTATGAAGCACTTTGAAATGTCTGAATGTGATGAGACAAATGCATGTCCCAAATATGTCAAAAATGTGATATGATATGCAACACCCAAATAGCAATTGCTATCCAATTTGCAAATATTGTATTCTAACCCCCCCCATGTAACTTGTAAAAGCTGACATGCAAATTCATTTTAGTACAAAGGATCAAGGTGATAGTGTGTCTGGTATAAAGGACATATCTCAATCTTTGGAGGTGTCCTGCATTGTTTTTGGATGTACTGTTGGATTTGGTTTTGCCACTAATCACAAATGCTTTATGTTGGTGCTTATTTTGCTCTGAGATGTTTTTTTGTGCATGAAGGGCACTGTAGAAATGCAAGTTGTCAATGTCGTTGTTGGTATTGGAAATCAATCGAAGTACCCAGAACGATATAACTCGGTCCTGATGATGTAGACTGAGTTTTGTATTGCTGTATTTGTTTACAGGTCCAACCAAAACATGTGAAGGAGGCATTTCGGTTGCTGAACAAGTCAATTATTCGTGTGGAGACGCCAGACATCAACTTTGACCAGGAAGAGGGTAATGACCAAAATGGTGCAAATTTACCTCTAAACAGAGGATCTTTTATGTAATGCACATTAATTAGAAACAAGTTTTTTTGACAATCGTTTTCTCTGATTTTCAACCTAATTTGTTATAAACTTGCGCTGAAACAGTAAATGCATATTCAAACAGAATCTCTGCTCTATGCTGAGGTCACTCGTGGGTATTGCATTTGGTTTCAATGGCCAGAAAAAGTATAACTTGGCTAGAGCTCGAACTCCCTCCTGAAAGAGTGAATGTCCAAGTATTTTATTTGGAGAGCAGGACTGATCTTGGTTGAGATGCTTCCCATGGATAAATAATATACAGTAAACTCCTGATAACTTGTCCCTCCAAAGGAAAAGGGCTCAATGAGATGTTATCTGGAGTGGTGAGTTAGACATGTGTATAAATACATAAATAAATGCAGGTGGGATATTGACGGCATGATAATTTAATTGGTAGTGACAAGTTAAGCCAGGGTTGAGTTATCAGGAGTCTACCTTATTGACATTCAATAGCAATTTCATTTTGATGAATATCATAATTCTGCTCAATTCTGTCATCGCCTGATGTCTATACATCAGGCGATAATCAGGATTCAATGGATGGAGTGCTTTCTGATTCTCTTCTCTCCCTCCCCCTCCACCATTGCTGAGGCTAATTCTAGTTCCTCAGTTAAGATAAGCTATAAGCATGGTCCAACTGGCAGCCCACGGGCCGATTTCATCTGCCCCCCCCACCCCACCTCCATTTTATCTGGCCCACTGCTCTTTCCATAACCCGTAAATGTTATGTTTCTTGAAGGGAAACGCAAAAATATTGCTTATGCAGCCTGTGGACGGTTCTCAAATAGGGCATTCAGCCCTCAGCAGACAAAAGGCTGGACTACCCTGAGCTAACTTATCACAGTCTAGAGATAAGAACTCAGGCCATCCTGATCTGTAGGATTCAGTTACATACTAGGCAATGGGTTTACAAATGTAAATTGAGCAATGAGGTTAAAATGTTATCATTAAAATAATTAAAAAGAAGTTAAATTGAGATTCTGTCTGCCTTTACAGGTGAATGTTAAAGGTCCCATTACACTATTTGTACACAATTCCTCAGATATCTGTTGCACAAATTGATTCCTGCGTTCATCTGCAAAATACAGTTGCCACACTTTTGATACTTTGCAAAGCGCTTTGAGACTTGTGATGTTGTAAGCACTATATCAAATGGAAATATTATTATTAGTGTTCAATTTCTATAACTGACTTTAAGTCTTGGGAATGAAGCCATTCAGCCCCTTGAACCTGTTCGACTAATTTATTAGATGGTGAGTGATCTTCTAATCCCATTTCCCTGTCTTCTTCATAAAACTACCCTTAATATCTTCACTTCTCTCTTTTAAACATCCAAATTGCTTCTGCCTCTAGCGAAGTACATTCTCATAGGAACTCTGGCTTGGCATTGCAGGAATTGTTTTGTAATTTTAGTTGACGTGCCTTTCTTTTCTTTTCAGCTGATGTAAATGGTTTGGCTGGGGAGGACCATGCTGTGAACAGTGAAGTTATGGAGGTAGACCAGGACACTCTGAGGTCTGAAATGCAGCCTGCTCTAAAGATGTCATTCACGGAATACAAGAAGATCTCTAACCTGTTAGTTCTACACCTGCAAAAGGTAGAAGAAGGTAATTTTTTGTGTACGTGGGTTTCTTCAATTAGTCAATACTTGCGTATGGGCGCTTGGCTGTGGAGGTCCAAGATCCTACCCAATGTGAAGGGTGCTATATAAATGTAAGTTGATTCTTGGTTATGAAGAGATTGATTAGGGTTGGCTTCAGCTATTCTGCCAATGCTTTCCGGAACTCTGTCCAGGAGTCTCTCTGATGGCTCCCTCCCATCTTTTCAAGCACCTCTCAACCCCTGCATCTTTCTGGCCCCCTTCTGCTGGTACCTGGAATAGCCAACTAACAGGAACTTGGCTATTATACGTAGATCCTGGAGAACTTGCCGGTCTCCATGACCCAGTTCCAATTTTTAGCTAAAAAACTTTCTTTCTAACTACAAATTTGAATTGCCACGTGTCAAAACTCCAAAATCAGAACAAGATATTTCAACCAGGGCCCACCATTACACCTGTGATCCAACTTCAGAAAGCTGAAATTTGTAGAGATTTCCATACTGTTACATGCAGTGTAATCTCTATGCCATGGTTATCATGTCATCATAAATAATATCCGCCAGACAGCCTCATCCTCCTGCGTGTTGTCACCCACCACCAGCCCCTCTCCGTCCCCCTCACCCTCTCCATCAGCAGGACCTACCACAACCCCCATCCTACATTCCTTCCACCCCATCTCTCCTTTCTCCCTCTCATCCACCATCATTTTGATGAAATCCACCACCTGGTTCGAGTCCTAACTCACAAACCGCAGCAATATATATCTGCCTGTCAGATCTCAGGGGTTGGATGAGCGCGAATTTCCTTCAGCTGAACATTGACAAGACGGAAGCCATACTCTTTGGCTCTCGTCAACATCTTCAATCGCACGGTTTTCATCTTCTCCATCTACCCGACCTGTCCCTAAAACTCTCTGAACCCATACGCAACCCAGGTGTTGGGTTCGACCCCCAATTATCCTTCCTCCCCCACATCCAGTCCCTCACCAGCACCGCTTTCTTCCACCTCCGACGCATCACTCGTCTCCGCCAATATCTCACCCCAAAAGCCGCCAAACCCTGGTCCCTGGTCTTTGTCACCTCTCGGCTGGACTATTGAAATGCCCTCCTCGCCGGTCTCCCCTCCAATACCATTCATAAAATCCAGGTCATCCAGAATTCTGCCGCCCGCAATCTTACCCACACCAAACTCCCCTCCCCAGTTACCCCAGTCCTTGCCAGACTGCACTGGCTGCCTGTCCCAGAGAGAATCGATTTCAAGATCCTCGCTCTTGTTTTCAAATCCCTCCACTCCTCTGCACCCCCCTACCTCTCTGACCTCCTCTCTTCTCACAATAGTGCCCGTTGCCTTCGCTCCACCGGGTCTGGCCTCCTCCTTGTCCCCCGAGTCCTCCGCTCCACCATCGGCTGCCGTGCCACCAGCCACTACGCCCCGTCCTGCCCCCTCTCTTCCTACTTTCAGGTCTCGGCTAAAGATCTTTCTTTTCGACCGCGCCTTTGGTCACCTTCCTCCCCCTCCCCCTGGCTCGGCCCCGGGATCCATTATTATGAAGCGCTCTGAGATACCGTCCGGCGTGGAGGGCACTATATAATCCAAGTTGTTGTTGTTGGAAAACAATCTGCACACATGACTCTGTAAGACACTATTATTTTGTTTGAAATCAAAGGAGTTTCACAACACTGCCATTATGGCATCCAAACTGCACTTGGCTGCTGTATGCTATTCCATTTGCCTATAATCATGGTTTACTTTGAAACCTAGAATGTGCAGCACAAAATGTGGCAACTCATTCCATTACACCTATGCTGGGAAAAAGGGGTGGGATCAGCTTGTCCTCTGCAATTAACTTGCTTAATCTCAATTCTCTGCTCTCCTCTTTCGCTTTTACATTACTTTTCTTCAAATGTTTATCTAATTTTCTTTTAACTAGTCTGCATTGAGTGTGATGTAAATTACCATACATAGCCTTCATTAGCTGTTCAACAACGCTCAAATATGGCAATTAAACAGTCATCAAATTAGCAACTTACTAACTGCAGCACATGTGGCCAAGATACTTAACTCATAATAACGGTACTCCAATACATTTGTCACAATTCTCCTGACAATAAGGATGCAGCATCAAGGTGTACTTAACGTACATTACACAGAATGCATTAAAATTACTCTTTAATGGAATACAAAACATTCCTGCCTCTGAAGTTTTATTTTTTTCCGTTGAATAATTTTATCTCCAGGTTTACTGGTTAAGGATATGCCTATGCCAGCTGTCAGCCTGGCTTAGTGGTAGCACTCTCGCCTCTGAGTCAGAAAGTTGTGGGTTCAAGGCCCACGTTAGGGCTTAGAATCACATAGTCCAAGCTGACATTCCAATGCAGTGCTGGGGTGTGTTTCTTTGTCGGAAGTGTCGTCTTTCAAATGAGACATTAAGCCAAGGTCCCATCTGCCTGTTCAGGTGGGTTTTGAAAGATCCCATGGCACTGTTTGAAAAGAGATGGGAGTTTCTCCCATTGTCCTGGCCAACAATCCCCCAAATAAAAAAAATATCTTCACTCATGACTGTTCGTGGGACATTGCTATGTGCAATTTGGCTGCCCCGTTTTACTGTGAAGCGCTTTGAAACCCTCGACTGCATGATAAGGTGCTATACCAAATGCAAGGACTTTTATAATGAATTTCAGTATCTAGTAATGTAGGACCACATCTGAAAAGCTGTGTCTCCCATAGTCCTTTTGCAACTGTATTCTGATCTGTGTGTGTTTGCAGTGGAAGGAGATGAGGCTTTTCGGAAAAGCGACTTGGTAAATTGGTACCTGAAGGAAATGGAGAGTGAGATTGAAACCGAGGCTCAACTAATTCTAAAAAAGACTATGATTGAAAAAGTTATTCACCGACTAAGTCACTGTGTGAGTATGTTTATTATACAAATCACTTTATTATCTGGCATAGGTTTGAGGTGGTGAGTAACTCTACTGCAGTCTCTATGGGCAAATCCCAGTGCATTGAGAACTTTAATTAATAGATCAGCATCTACTATTTTTGTTTAGTTTTTTTTAAATCCAATAATAAAAATTTACAAGATCATAAGAGAGGTTTGGATGAAGAAAGTTTGTCTTGACCAATTTGGATCTCATCCTTGCAGAATATTTACTATTATCTTTCCAATACAGCATCAAGGTGCTAACTTAAACCAGCCTTCCTGATACTTTATTTTACCTGTTAGGTGCTCTCTGTGTTACGAATACCCTTTGTGTAAATAAATATTTTCTATAGTCTATCCTAAAATAAATCTTCACAGATACAAATCAGTGCTCTCTTGCCCAGCTGCCTTGGTGTAGCTGCAATCTTGTTTGTAAACATCAATAAATATAGTTATGCATTTATTTGGGTGTGTGGGTGAATGGGGCCCTAGCTCTTGCTTATTTACTTTTCTGTAGCAGAAGCATGAATAGAAATGTCAGATTCATTGTAACTACTCAGTAACTACTTTTGTTCTTCAGTTTTGTTGTGATGTATTTTGTCTGGTTAGCTGAGTTGCAGTCAACTGGAAGTATTTTGTTCAACTAAGGGTAGTGTTGCAGCAGAGATTTATGACATAACGATGATGGCTTGCGGATGAAAGACTGTGGAAAGATACCAGTGGACCACAGGGTGTGTATGTGTGTTGCTTGTGATGTGACTTAAATCTACTGTAAAACCCAAGTAAATCTTCTGAGTGCGATGCCTGTAATTGAAGAATGACGGTGCAATTTTTCTATGAGGAGAAAATTTAAGTATTTTAGAATGCTTGATTTTTCAAAGAAATAATTCAGGTTGCATCAATAATTTTTTAAAAAAGAAGTAATTTGAAAAACGGAATTGGAAAGTTTATTAGTGAGGCTGGAGAAAAGCATCAATTTTCTGTTTTTATTTGTGCTGGAGAATTGAATGTTTTTCTCTTCTTCCCTTCACCTGCTTTTCTCAATGTGGCCATTTTTGAACATGTTTATGTGATAATGATGATTAATTTGTAAATTGCTTTGGTGATAACTTTTTGCTAAAAATCAAGCTGGTGGAATTCACTCTCTTTTCTCATTTTTGCTTATTGGGCTCTAGTATGTGGTGGTTTCTAATAGAATGCTTTGAATAAGGACACTAAAAATATGTTTGTAAGATGACAAGATAAGTTTGAATGAAGAAGATCCTTTGGCCACTTTGAACTTAGCCTTCCAGTGTACTCACCTTACTGTCCTATCATAGCTTGAAGCTATATTTTAAATGAGTGCAACAATCTGGCCTCACGACCCTTCCTGGTAACTTGTTCCAGTCATTAAATGCCCTTTGGGTAAAGAAATACTTTCTGGTATCTGTTCTGAAATTACCTTTTGCAACTCTGAACTTTTGTTCTTGGAGTATCTGAGACTATTATTCTGAGTTTTCAACCCCAATTAAAATCTTATATAAATATAACAACAAATTGCATTTATATAGCATCTTTCTTGTCAGGAGTATGTCCTGGTGTGAAATTCTTTATTGAAGTTTTATCTGAGATGCCTCTTTTCAAGACTAACTTGTCTAAACGTTGCACCAACTCACAAAGACATTGCTGTGATGAGCTACCTTCCTGAGATGGGTTTCCAGGAGTGAATATAGTGTACTTGTGGACCAGAAGTCCAACTCAGATTATTTATAAACAAATCCTGTTAGAAATTTCTGCTCATCAGACCCCCATTGAACTTTAATTCTGCTTTGAGTTTTTTATCTTCCCATTTCCATAGGACTTAACATAGGTGAAAAAGTGTGTTCATGTGGGTTGGCTAAGAAAGAAAGCTTGCAAAAATTATAGTCTGATTGCATGATACTTTGCACAACTCCATTTATAGTGCAAGTGTATCGTGCACCAATGGAGATGGGAACATAGCAGAATTAAAGCTAAAGTTTGAGCCTCAGAACACTGTCAGCCTGGCTCAGTTGGTAGCACTCTCGCCTGAGTTAGAAGGTTGAGCGTTCCCAAGCCCTTATGGAGTTCGTAGTCTAAGCTGATACTCCAATGCAGTGCTGGGGTGTGCTGCATTGTTGGTGCTGCCTTTGGATGAGACATTAACCTGAGGTCCCATTTGCTGGCTTTTTTAATATGCCGTGTTGTAAGGCAGGGGCTGATGTTTAAACACAATTACTGCATTATAACTGGGCCCGACTGCAAGTTTGTTGCACTTGAGAAGCCTTCCTCCCCCCTCCAACCCCATTATGTTTCAGTCCAGAGAGGGGAATATTTTTGCCTCAGATACTGGTAAGTGAAAGCAACATTTTGTTTGATCTTTTTATATGCCACCAGAAAAAGGAGTAATTCGAGCCACATGTTTCTTGGCTTGGCCTTGGATAGATTGAGCTAGCTCCTACTTGAATATCAATTTCAAAGGACTTATGCAACTTTGTCACATTGCCAACCACGGAGCACAATCTTTCAGTGTTACTTCATGAGATACTTATTAAACATTAAGCAGGCACCTATGAAACAACAATAACATCCTAACTGTCCAGCGCCTTGGGACGTCCTCCTGATGTGAAAGGCGCTATACAAATGTAGTTGGTTACTGTTGAAGTGGAAGGTCTACACGTGAAATCTGAAAGGGCGCAAGCGGAGGGAATGAGGCAGGGAGTTCCAGAGTTTCAGGGCATAGTGATTGAAAGCCTATTAAAATTGTCACTGTAAACCTATTAATTCTGTGAAACTCTTGAAAGGAGCACTTGAATATCACAATTGTATGTCTAATTCCCAATTCTCTTCCCCCCCCCCACCCCCCAGTCTTGAAGCTACATTGCATTTGGCAACTGTGATTACCTTCATTGTCAGTATTCTTTATCTATTCGTTAACATCTTCTCTTTTAGTAGCTGTGGAGGAACCACTCGCTACAGAAAATGCTTTTTCTGTACAGCTAGTAAGGGTACTTTAATTAAGATTGTTGAAAATGAATGTGGTGAGTGATTATTTGCTTCTTGTAATATATTTTCTTCAAAGGCAATTTCTGCAGCGAAAGAAGAATCAAATATCCTGAAAATATCCTTCAGATCATTTTGAAATGAGTAATGATTGTTCCACCAAGTTTGTACGTGTTCAAATGAAATCCAAACTTGCGACATGTTGGATGGTGAAATGATTGTGGTTTTCTTGCTTTTTAGGACCATGTTCTGATTGAGTTGAAAATGTCTGGGCTGAAGAGGCTAAAGGCTGGCGAAGGTGATGATGTCATTGAAGAAGATGATCCCTTCTTAGTAGTTAATCCAAACTATGTGCTTGATCTTTAGCAGATATTACATTTCCAAAATAAATTATAAATGATTATTGTTGCAGTTTACATTCAAATTAAAATGCCTGTAACACTACTAATTATATCTATGCAAGTGCTATTATAACTGAAGGAAACAAGTATTGCAGTGGTACTGCATCAATTGTCTAGTTGGTGTGAAGTGTTGTATTGCAGAAAATAAAGGTCTGAATTGCTTTGCAATATTTTATTCATTATTGTATTATTAATGAGATCGTCACTGGTAGAAAATTGTAAGCTAGATTGCTTTGAGCTCCCACCCTCACCCAAAGTACCCATTTAGCACTATAAACACATTTTGACATGAAAAGCACAATATAAATGCAAATTGTATTGTATATGTTGCTCATGACTCAAGAGTCCGATTTCAAAACTTTGCGCTGGAATGCTGAAATTTCAACTGATTGAAGAGTTAGTAACACGGGCACACGTTAAATTTAATCGCAAAAAAAACATAAGAAAAGTTAGAATTTTTTTTCTGCTGATTGGAAGTCTAGATACACTACATCATATGGTTTCCAACAGTTAATCTGGATTGTCGCCTCCTCAAAATTCTATGAGATTGATCAGGCAACACCTACCCTTTCCGAATACATGTTGATTGTCAATTATTAGATTTTCGCTCGCCCCACTATTAGCGGGTGTCCTTCTGCTACTCTGCCCCCACCCTCTGGAACTCCATCCTGCAGTCCCTCCGCCTCACCCCCTTCCTTGCTTCCTTCAAGACCCGTCTCAAGATCTTCCTCTTTGACCGTGCTTTCGATCTCCCTGCTTTCCCCCCTCTCCTGCCCTCCACTCTCCCTGACCCCCAGCTCGAGTCTGAAACTCTGTCCAGTGCTTTGGGACATCCTCCTGACGTAATTTTTTTTAATAATAGTTCCTTTCTGCTGATTGACTCCTTCATGGTTCAAATATGACATTTTCTTGCACAGACTGTTGTTGAGTCTATAGATTATGTGTGTTCAGTGTGTTCTGTGAAGCGCTTTGGGACGTCCTCCCGACGTGAAAAGCGCTATATCAAATGCAAGGATTATTATTATTATTATTATTTATTATTATTATTTTAAAGTGGAATGAGATAGATTAATTTTATTAAAAAAAAATTAGAGTACAGGGAGCAAACAGGAGAGCCGTGCAGACTTGAATGGCATAATCGAAAGGAAAGAAGTTCAATGTGGCTTCGGATCAAGGTGGGACCATTGATGGGCCAGCATTCAGCCATTCTTGCCTCTCCTCTCTGGTATTCCATCCCGAGCTCCCTCTGCCTCTATCTTTAAAGTCGGCCTTAATTGTACCTTTTTGTAATAATCACTTAAAAAAAATTATTTGGTCACTCAATCCAAGATTGTTTGTGGGATACTGCCGTGCGCAATTGGCTGCTGAGTTTTGCATGCAAAATATATAGTCAATTCACTTCATAGTATATTTTGTGAAGAGCTTTGAGACATGATAACGTGCTATATCAAATGTAATGATTATTATTATTATTTTTTTGGCTACACTTTTAGTCACCTTTATACTTCTGCCCAAAGCATTGAACAATAATTTTGGTGCTGTACGTACACAGTGGAGTTCTGAAGCCAATGAAACTTTCCTTTCCAAATTATTGACAGAATATTTGAAAAGTTGTGTCAGAAGATGTGCAGGATGGCTATAGCTCACAAAAATGGTTCACTTTCCAATTTGAGACTCAAAATCTGAGTGGGAATAACATTTTAGATTTTCCATTGTAAACAAACCTCTGAGCACACCTAGTTGGAAAAAATTGTGCAACCTCAAACGCTGCAATTTTTGTAATCTGTTCTATTGGAATTTTTCACAGGAGTTAGACTTTCACTTTAATGTTTTCTACCTTGTCTAGAACAGGCAGCAGATCAATCTTGTTTCTTTTGCAGGCAAGTAGATTCCGCTAGGATTTGGCAAGCTACACTGAGTCTTATGAGAAAATCAATCCGAATAAATGCTCGCCAGACACCACCACTGTATCTTCTCTTGTTCAAACAGTGAGTTTCAGATTTTAATTCTGTTTGATCCATGTCTTTGGAAGCCAAGAAGCTTAAAAATCTTAATACGATGAAGATGAACAAAGTACAATGTGAAAAATAATAATTAGCACTGGTGAAATCGTCATTGTTAAAATTTCCACCCCTTTCAATATCCCAATCAATGTCTGGCCTCGGAAGAACCTCTGATCCCCCAACCTTTCCTAAGCTTTGGCACTAGGGTGTTGGCTCAGTCATCTTGTGGTCACCACTGAACGTGCCTTCTTGTGGATCAAGCCTGATCCTGGAATGCCACTTAACGTTAAAAATTATAATAATCACATAGCAGTTATATGTTCACTTTGCCATTAAAAAAACTATAAAGGTAAATTTAATGTTATATCATCATTTAAGCAGCTTGTGAATTGGTATATGGTAAAATTCTGATTTCTTCATGTAGTGCCTTCAATTTTGCAGTGTTCATGTTAAAACTTTCTCTAGTATCATCACCCAATTCTACAATTTCTTTCCACTTGACTTCATTTAACACAGTAGCTCTGAGATGCTATCTTGTGTGAAGGGCTGTATATAAATGCAAATTATTGTATCTTATCCCATTTCTATGCAATATTCCACAACATTTTTTGTGTTTCATATAGTGTCTTTCGATTCGGGATGACATCTCAAAGTTGGTACTGGTGTATTCATAGGCAGCCAGTTTGCGAATAGCAATGTCCCACAAACAGTCATGAAGTGAATAATCGTAACTGGGAGATTGTTGGCCAGGCCACCAGGCAAAACTCCCTTCTCTTTTTGAATAGTGCTATGTGATCCTTAACAGGCAGATCAGACCTCAGTTTAGAACTCAGTGAAGGATGACAACTGTGACAATGCAGTGCTCCCCTGGCACTATATTGGACTGTCAGTCTAAATTAACATGGGGCTTGAACCCATAATCTTCTGACAGCGAGAATGCTACCAACTGAGCCAGGCTGACACCAAGCATCCATTCTTCTAACCCCAGTGAATAGTTCTGTGTTAACTCATTTTGTTTTTTAAAGTGTAAACTGAGTGCAATAATAAAAATGTAATAACACAAATGCTGTGTATTTTGTCGGCAAAAGCACTTACTGTGAACATGTAGGAAGTCAATTGGCATGGGAGAGAGAGGGATGGGTTATTGTTCTGGGTGTGATGATCTGCCCATGATGTTTGCCTTAAATGAACAGACAAGAATCTGTGTATCACCCACAAAATGCAGTCACTACACTTTCAGTATATTCTGTGAAGTGCTTTGAGATGTCCAGAAGATATGAAAAGCTATATCAAATGCAAGGATTATTATTATTATGTAATGGAATTCTCTGCTAGCATCTTAACTTATTAATGCTCCACATACTGCTGCTGCTGGGGTAAATCAGGCAATCAGAAAAAGTCTAAGGTGTCCTTAGAACACAAACAATCTTAGATATCTGCGCCGCACTGAAACATCCCCTCGGGAGCCTGATCTATGTTTCTTTTTCCCCATGGGTTAACATCAAGTGCATAGTCTGCTGCTACAGTTAGTGGACAAGTTTAACAAAGCAATGTTACTATATGTGAACATGTTTTTTAAATGTTAATCGTGTCTCCCCACTGATTTGAGTTTTCTTTCACTTTAATGCCAATGGCTGAGTCAGGATCCCAGAAAGACTTGCAGGATTAAAAATATAGTAATGACTTGGCCATTAAATGCAAGAATTTATTTGGAGATAAGGTAGACTCCTGCTCTTCAATAACTAGTGCTATCACTTCTTATGAAGTATTTGGTCTTAGTTTGTGCCATTCTTTTCATCTCCAATCCCTTTCCAACCACGTATTGCTCTATCTTTTCATCTTTATTTTTGTATCTTTCTGCGCTGTAGATTTCTATGTTTCTAGGATTACACAGATCACAAGTTCACATATATTAATTCTGTTTCTCACTTTTTTGAGGTAAGAGTTTTAAATGTATTGAATCAACAACAATAATAAATAATAACTTAAATAATAATAATCCTTGCATTTGATGTTGTCCCTTGTCATTTCAAAAAGTCTCAGAATACTTCACAGTAGTTTGTGTACTTTGTAGGCATCTGTGGTTGACAATTAATGCATAACATTGTCCCACAAACAATCAGGAGGTGAGTGATCAATTATTGGAAGATTGTCCATAACATCAGGAGAAATTCCCTTCTCTTTTTGAAGAATGTTCAGAATTCTCTAACGTTCACCTGAATGCATAGATTAGACCTTGGTTTTCATATAGAATCTGAAGGGCAGCATTTCCAACAATGTAGCGCTCTACCAACTGGAATGCCATTTTAGAATAGATCATGAGTTCAAAATCTGACATAATAATCCTTATATCTGATATAGTGCCTTTTACATTGGGAGGACATCACAAAGCACTTCACAGAATATACTATAAAGTACAAATGATTGTATTTTGTGGGCAAATGAAGCTGCTAATTTGTGCATAGCAATGGATTGTTGTCCAGGACACTGGGAGAAACTCGCTTCTCTTTTCAAACAATGCCATGGGATCTTTAACGTTCACCTGAACAGGCAGATGGGGCCTTGGTTTAATGTCTCATCTAAAAGACGATATCTCCAACAATTCTGAAACCATAACCTTTCGACCCAGAGGCAAAAATGCTATCAACTGAAGCAAACTGACATAGCTACTGTAATCCTACTAAATTAAAAATAATATTTAAACAATCAGAAAGGCTACATTGATCCATTTTTAACCAATTTAGACATACTCTGAATGTTGTACTTAATCCACTGGTTTAATCATCTTATTCCATTTGAGGTATATATTAAATTAATGATCCTGAAAGTCAATTTAAACAGATAAATCCACATTCAATTTAAATTAAAATATAATAACAATCCTTGCATTTTATGTTCTGACGAAGGGGAGTGGATCCGAAACGTTGACTCACTTTCCTTTCCCCATAGATGCTGCCTGACCTGCTGAGTGTTCCCAATGGCTTCTGTTTTTGTTTCAGATTTCCAGCATCTGCAGTATTTTGTGTTTTGCTTGCATTTTATGTCTTTGTGAGATGTCTCAAAATATTCCATAGGATTTTACTGTGAAGTGCAGTGACTGTATTTTAAGGAGAATGTAAAATATCTTACAACTTTATTT